TATCCTGACCTGCATCACCCTCCACTTGGCCTCATTGCACTTCATTAGGTTTTCATGAGCCCACTTCTCCAGCCTATCCAGGTTCCTCTGGATGGCTTTCCTTCCTCCCAGTGTATTGACTGCACTGCTCGACTTGGTGTCTTTTGCAAACTTGCTGAAGGTGCACTCGATACCATTGTCTGTGTTGATGAAGATGTTGAAGAGCATTGGTCCCAAGACTGACCCCTGAGGGACAGCGTTTGTGACCAGCCTCCACCTGATACAGAACCACTGATACAACCCTTTGGCTGTGTCCAGCCAGCCAGTTTCTAATCCGTCAAACAGTCCTTCCTTCAAATCCACACCTTTCCAATTTAGAGAGGAGGATGTGGTGAGGGACCCTGACAAAGGCCTTGCAGAAGTCCAGGTAGGTGACGTCCACTACCCTTCCCCCATCCACCAAAACCATCACTCCATCATAGAAGGCCACCAGATTGGTCAGGCACGATCTGCCCTTGGTGAAACCAAGCTGTCTGTCTGGAATCGCTTCTTTATCTTATATGTGCCTTAACATAGCTTCTAGGAGGATCTGCTCCATGGTCTTCGCAGGCACTGAGGTGAGGTTCACCAGCCTGTAGTCCTCTGGGTCTTCATTTCTCCCTTTCTTAAAAATGGGAGTAACGTTTCCCTTTTTCCAGTCATCAGGGACTTCACCAGACAGCCATGATTTTTCAAATATGATGGAGAGCAACTCGACAACCACATCAGCCATCTCTTTCAGAACCCTAGGATGGATGTCATCTCGCCCAATGGACATACACGTGTTCAATTTCATGACGAGGACCCGGACTTGTTCCACCATTACAGGGGGACAGAAACCACTCCCCACACCCTCACTTAGAGGCTCACGGTCCTGGCAGACACAAGAAGACTGACCACTCGTGAAGACTGAGGCAAAGCACTCACTGAGAACCTCAGCTTTTTCTATGTCTGAGGAAGCCAGCTCCCCATTGCCTTTCATCAGAGGGGGAACACTCTCCTTGGCCTGTCTCTTCCTGCCTGTGTACCTGTAGAACCCCTTCTTGTTATCTTTCACATCCTTCGCCAAGTTCAGCTCCATCTGTGCCTTGGCTTTCTTAGTCCTATCTGTACACACATGGACAATCAAAATCCACACATATGAAAAAAAATATATAAATAACCCTTCAGCTTTGAAACTAGGACGCTGCTAAAAACATCCTGGATATGTGAATCTTTCAGTGAAATATCTGGGTTTTTTTGGTTGAACATTCAAAATCTGCAACTTATTGATAAAGTACTCTTGAACTTTGAGAGTCTCCTTCAGATTCCTTTGTGAATGAGTCTTGTCTCATGGGTAACAATTGTGTGCATGGAATTTATCTGTAAAAAGTGAGTGGTGTAGCTGCTATGCTGCTTTGTTACCTTGAAAGTAAGTCAGATTGGTTTTGAGAAAATGTTGTGGTTTGAATCATTATTATTTCTTACATAGATTAATAACGTGGAAAGAAAAACCCTCATAATTTCCATTTGTGGGTTTCTGATTCCTTTTGCTGATGTATTATGTAACTTCATTTTAAATCATCCAAAGAGTGTTCACAGTACAAGTAGAATTTAGTGGTAAGAGACTATCAGTATTATCTTTGCAGCCACAACTTCCTCTTCCTCTTCTGCCCTTGTCCTCATGGGGGACTTTAACTTCCCTGACATATGCTGGGAGTACAGCACAGCACAGAGGAAGCAGTCTAGGAGGTTTCTGGAATGCGTAGAGGACAACTTCCTGATACAGCTGGTCAGAGAGCCCACGAGAGGAACTGCCCCACTAGACCTGCTGTTCACAAACAGGGAAGGTTTGGTGGGAGATGTGGAGGTTGGAGGCTGTCTTGGACAGAGTGATCATGAAATGATAGACTTCGTGATTCACAGTGGAGCCTGGAGGGGGAATAGTAATACTGCTACCTTGGACTTCAGGAGGGCAGACTTTGAATTGTTCAGGGGACTAATAGGGGGAGTCCCCTGGCATTCAGTCTTAGCGAGCAAAGGGGTCCAAGAGAGCTGGTTGCTCTTCAAGAAGGAAGTCTTAAGGGCGCAGGAGCAGGCAGTCCCCCTGAGCTGCAAAATGAGCCGGCGGGGAAGAAGACCGGCGTGGATGAATAGGGAGCTATTCCTGAGGCTCCGGGAGAAAAAGAGAATCTACCGCCTGTGGAAAGAGGGACAGGCCACTCAAAATGAATACAGGAAAGTTGTTAGGATGTGTAGAGGTGAAATCAGAAAGGCAAAAGCCCAGCTTGAATTTAACCTAGCTGCTGGTGTGAAAAGGAATAAGAAACTCTTTTATAAATACATTAACAGTAAGAGGAGGACAAAGGAGAATATCCACTCTTTGCTGGATGAGGCTGGGAATGTGACCACTGAGGATAAGGAAAAGGCGGAGGTTCTGAATGCCTTCTTTACGTCTGTCTTTAAAAGTCAGACCAGTTATCCTCAGGATACCCCTCTCTCTGACCTGGTAATCTCGGCCGGGGAGCACACTAACCCCCCTGTGATTCTGAAAGAAACAGTCAGAGACCTACTGCTCCAGCTGGACTGTCACAAGTCGATGGGGCCAGATGAGATCCACCCGAGAGTGCTGAGGGAACTGGCGGAGGTGATAGCCGAGCCGCTTTCCATCATCTGTCAGCGCTCCTTGTTGACTGGTGAGGTCCCAGAAGACTGGAGGCTTGCCAATGTGACTCCCATTTATAAGAAAGGTCGTAAGGAGGATCCGGGGAACTACAGGCCTGTCAGCCTGACCTCGGTGCCAGGGAAGGTTATGGAGCAGATCGTCTTGAGGGAGATCATGCGGCATGTGCAGGGTGACCGGGGGATCAGGCCTAGCCAGCATGGGTTCATGAAGGGCAGGTCCTGTTTGACCAACCTGATCTCCTTCTATGATCTAGTGACCCATCTGGTGGATGAAGGAAAGGCTGTTGATGTGGTCTACCTAGACTTCAGCAAAGCCTTTGACACTGTCTCCCACAGCATTCTCCTGCAGAAGCTGGCAGCCAGAGGCTTGGATGGGTACACTCTTGGCTGGGTAAGGAGCTGGCTGGAGGGCCGGGCACAGAGAGTGGTGGTGAATGGAGTTAAATCCAGCTGGCGACCGGTCGTGAGTGGTGTTCCCCAGGGGTCGGTGCTGGGGCCTGTCCTCTTCAATATCTTTATTGATGACCTCGATGAGGGCATCGAGTGCACCCTCAGTAAATTCGCAGATGACACCAAATTGGCTGGAAGTGTCGATCTGCCTGGGGGTAGCGAGGCCCTACAGAGGGATCTGGACAGGCTGGAGAGCTGGGCTGGAGCCAATGGGATGAGTTTCAACAAGGCCAAATGCCAGGTCCTGCACTTCGGCCACAACAACCCCAGGCGACGCTACAGGCTCGGGGCGGTGTGGCTGGAGGACTACGTAGAGGAAATGGACCTGGGGGTATTGATTGATGCTCGGCTGAACATGAGCCGACAGTGTGCCCAGGTGGCCAAGAAGGCCAATGGCATCCTGGCTTGCATCAGAAACAGTGTTGCAAGCAGGAGCAGAGAGGTGATTGTTCCCCTATATTCAGCACTCGTGAGGCCGCACCTGGAGTACTCTGTCCAGTTTTGGGCCCCTCACTGCAAGAAAGATATTGAGGCCCTGGAACGTGTTCAAAGAAGGGCAACAAAGCTGGTGAGGGGTCTGGAACACAGGCCATATGAGGAGAGGCTGAAGGAGCTGGGAATGTTCAGCCTGGAGAAGAGGAGGCTCAGGGGAGACCTTATTGCTCTCTATAACTTCCTGAAGGGAGGTTGTAGTGAGCTGGGGGTCGGCCTCTTCTCTCGTGTCATTAGTGATAGGACCAGGGGGAATGGTTTCAAGCTACGGCAGAGGAGATTCAGGCTGGACATGAGGAAGTATTACTTTTCAGAAAGGGTGGTCAGGCACTGGAATGGACTGCCCAGGGAGGTGGTGGAATCACCGACCCTGGGGGTGTTCAAGGAAAGACTGGATGTTGCGTTGAGGGACATGGTTTAGTAGGAGCTATTGGGAATAGGTGAACGGTTGGACTGGGTGATCTTTTAGGTCTTTTCCAACCTTAGTGATTCTATGATTCTATGATTCTAAAAAAGCCTACATAAGCTGTGATGTAATAACTGAATGAAAATAGAAATTGAAGAAGTGTAGCAATCAAGCGTTGTATAACAGAGTCGACTTGTTTTGTTATATTCTGGATCTATTTTAATGTAATGCTAATAGGCAGTGTAACTTAATAGTTTTATGTTGCATGTAGCAAGCAAAGAAGGCAGCAATACAGCCTGTATGATATGCTGGAAGAAGTCATGGAACATGCAGTAAAAGTTGATGGAAATTTCTCCCTTTGTGCAGCTTTTAGAAAGTACTTCCTTGTAAGCTGTGTGGATTTGAGATGTGGTTAATTTTTTTGTTTGTTCATTGTTTAATGAACTTTCTGCAATGTAGGTTTTAAGTGAATGCTGGAAGGGACTTTAAGGGACATTGAAGACCCTCTAGTTCTAAGCCCCTTGACATGAGTAAGGTAGATAATTGGATTTAAATTAGGATGCTTTCTTCTAGTAACAAACATTAAATTACTATCAATACTCACTAAGAAAAAAGGATCTTAACTTTATCCTACCATAAATACTGTGGTTGAATTTGCCAAAGGTAAATAAACATGTTAATAATTTCCTACTGAATTTTTATGTTTTTTTCTAAGTCTAGCTTTCAGATGCAACTTTCAGGCATTGTGTTGGTTTTAAAGCTGAGCAAATCCAGAAGTGGATCTCTGTTGTACAGTAGTTTTGCTCTGAAACTATCTTCTTTTTTTTTTCATCTCTACATACTTCTCCCTCTCTCATGTTTCTTTCTCTTCCATTTTGTAAGCATCCTAAGCTCACAAATCAAAAGAGGATTCTGTGTATAACATTCTGTAAGTCAATGTAAGTAACACATTTTTTTCTTGTGTTTGTAGAAGAGGTGGGAAAAAGTGAGGAAAAGGACAAAGAAAGAGAAGTGGTCCACAAAGAAGAAGAAAAACTCACAGACAGAGGTATGTAATATCAACACTACTCTGCACTGATGATACGTATTAGAAACACAGAATCATTGAGGTGTCAAGGATAGCTGAAGGAAAGGTTTCTCATTAAGGTCTGAGCCAAAATAGGCATCTGAGGTTTTTTCTACTGTATCATTTGCTACCCTGTCAGCAGCAGGGGGCATATTTTTCCTAGTTAACCTTATGCTGCTAATATGCTGGTAGAAAGCCCTTACTGCTTACTGTTCATGTTCCTCACTAGATTGAGCTGAAGGTGGCCTTTAACTTTCTTAACCCCATCCCTGCACACTTCCTGTTTTTAGATTTTTATGAGGTCATTCTGTCCATTGCAGATAGGAATCTGTTCCCTGCAGGTAGGGAATCATCCACAGTTACTGCTCTTGATTTCTGCATCGTGCTGCTGAGCTGCAGGCTCAGATAGTTCAGGCGTTTCCCTGGGCAGAACTTTCAGCAATCTGAAATGATAAGATCCAAATCTTTAGTTATCCTGTGCACCTGCAGGCATATTGGGAGCCACTGTCCTGGTGCTTCCTACTTTTGTCATTGTTGGAATTTCCACTTTGCAACAGGACAAGCTCTGGCTGTGTCCTCTGGTGTAGCTGGAGGTTCTGGTTCTTGAAGCTGAAGGATCTTACAGTTCATCAGGTCACTCTCTGTTTAATTATCTCTGATGTTATTTCATCTCCTGACCTCCTTCTGTAGATTCTTTGCTTGGTAACGTGACTGCCCCACTAGTTTATACCTCCTGTAAGCAAGAAGTTCATCTCTCTCTGCCAGGGCTTCATACAGAAAGAGACACTGTAGAGGTCCAGGCAGCTTGAGATTTGCGAAGCCATATCCTCACCCAGGAGAGCTCTGTTTGCATGGGGGCTTGGACATGACAAGGGGAACTGTCCCAGTGGAGATGATGTCACATGGTAGGTCATCACCGTTGCTGAGCATGGTGACCATGACCACCTTCTGTGCACCCTACTTTGCAAAGTTTCTCAGCTGTTGTTAGCCATGGTCTGGAAGCTGTGCTTTAGGCCCAGCCATTATTTAGGCTTCTCGCCAGTACATGCTGAAAGGATGTTTCAGTGTGCATAAAGTGTTAACTAGAACATAAGTGCAAAACACCCTTCAATCAGGAGCAACTGATGCAACTCAAAGCTGTTTTTGTTTCCAGGAGTCACAACTTCCCATTGCTATCCTTTCCATCAGCAGCAAGCACCCTCAAGTTCTTCAAAGATAATCAAGCTGCAGTATGATTTAATGTAGCCTCTGCTTCAGAACAAATTATTGAACATGTTTTGATAAATAAATAAGTACTTCTTGTATGTTACAAGCTAATTGTTTCATTCGTGAATGGTTTGATTTCTTCTCAAATGACTGACTGGGAGTAGGCAAACAGTGTACAGAAAATCCTAGTAAACTTGTCTTCAGTAGTCTGTGGATAGTTTTCTAACTTTGCAGTTTAAAATTTATTCACTTTCTGCAGGCTTTTCTGATGGATGGAAGAAAGCTTGAGCTGTAGCTGTTTTTATTCGTCACTGTTTACTGTCATTCTGAAAAAATAAAAACAAAAAATTACACCTTAGACATTTAAATTGTTCACAGATACTCAGCATTCTGCAGTGTTTATATGGAGTCCTGTAGTCCTGTTGTATTCCCCTAAAATGTGAATACCTATGCTCTCTTTTTTTTTTAGATAAAGGTTGTCACACAGAGTTTTAAAATTGCCTTTTAATATTTTTAGTACACTGGAGTCTTTTTAGTGCAGCTCTCAACATGGAAAACCATCAGAAATTTGACCATCAGAAAATTAGAAAATAATCTCTGAAGTTAAAAATATGACTCGCACAGTGTGTGTAATATAATTAAAGAAAAATGGAAAGTCGCTATTTGTTGTGCTTTTTCATTCTCCATTATCTACTAATTCTGTCTTTCTGACTCATCCTCAAATGTGAAGCTCATGGTCTTTGATGTTTGTATGGACAAACACACACAGAATGGTCTATAACTTTCTTTTCTTCCCTTTACTGGGCACATCATTCTGTATCCACATCACTAGAGCATATGGTGCCAGGAGCTGGAGGAATGAATGAGGTCTCTTTTTGCTCTTCTGTGCTTCATCACTGTAATGAAAATAACCTTCATAATATAGTTCTGTTTTGAGCCTCTTCTTTCATCAGGTTTTTACTTTCCTTCTTGCTCAAATAGTAAGAAAAATTGCTCTCTTATTCAGAGGTTGGAGGTACAGGTTAAGAATTCATGACAGATAGGAAAGAACTCTGCTAACACAGGCAGACTGAAGTAGAAGTTTTAGTTGGCTAATAGGTTACTGAGAAAAAAATACTTTTTTCAGAAAGAGGTTTTATTTTGCTTCTGAGAAGCCATGTTACATTTCAGGATGGTGCTGGTAGAAAGAGGAAGAAATGGAGGCAGGCAAGAGGGGAATGGCTGTGTGGTCTTGCATTTGAGGTAGTGGTTTGGTGAATCACAAAGCGGAACTCTTGGCAGCGATGTATGGAGAGAAAGGGCCTTGTTCTCTTTTGATGTTGTCAAATACATTGCTTTTCTGAAGGCATTCTTACTGTTCTAGAATGAAAAATGCTTAAGTGGATAAAAAATGAAACTTCATAATATTCGTGCAATTCTGCAAGTATCTGTTTGGGGGTAGTTCTTCTGGTTGTTCTTATTTTGCTTTCATTTGGTTTCTGTTTGTTTGTTTTTAAGATTCGTCATCAGCAGTTGTATCTAATTGTTTCAGGTGAAGTATCAAGAAGAAAGCGTTCAAAATCTGAGGACATGGACAGTGTGCATTCTAAACGGCGTCGATATGTTGGAGAGGAAGATTATGAAGCAGAATTCCAAGTGAAAATTACAGCCAGAAGAGATGTTGACCAAAAGTTAGAAAAGGTAGAGTGGAAGTGAAGAATGAAGATGGCAAAACAGTATCTCATGTCTTTATTTTCTCTTACCACTTCACCTGTCTTTTCCCACACACTCTCTAGTCACGTACACACAAGCTTTCTCTCATTTTTTGATTTAAAATCATACGTAATTAAAATAACAACAGAGGTTCAATGTATAAAGTCCTAGGTAGCCTTACTTAGACTAAATGCCATTTGGAAAGCATGTCACAAGAATTATATTTGAAATGTGTTAAGCATTTAAATTCTTAAGTGAAATGTGACTATAGATGGAGAATAAAAGAATCCCAGTAAAGGTGGCATTTTAGTATGATAAATGTTTACGTGTGCTTTGCTTTTTGTACCCAGCTTTAAAGAAAGTCTCTCATAATAATGAGTTATCAAACATAGTGTTTTGCAGATTTTTGTAGAGCTATGGTGGTGCATATTGTAACTTCAGTGTAGGATCCAGACAACCACTTTTATTGCTTGTTTATTTCTTTTTCTTATGGAGATTTTTACTTTGCAATAGTAAAGATTTAGGAGCAGAAGGGGAAAAGATAAATGTAGTAAGTAGACTTTGCAGAAATTAGTCTCTTCTTTTGCCATTTTTATCTTCTGCAGCTAAAGCAGCACAGGGCATTTCTGCTTAGGGGAAACTGTGTATCAAAAACTAAAGTTTCATTAAACACTTTCAGTTTCTGTTCTTCAAATGCCAATGTCACTATAAATAGTAGAAAAGAAGGGAAAAATTCAACCTGTGTAAACACAGTGGTACAAAAATGTCTTCTGTTAAGATTCTTTTTATCAATTATAAATCTGTATATGTTTATCATACTGCAGTGAAATTAATGTATTGAGTTAATGGTAGAAAGGGATATATATATTTGTCAAAACACGTTGTTTAGCAATGTAACCACATTCTTATTATTGATTATGATAAATTTAATTGATTGACAAGGCACAACCAGTGTCATTCGTGGCAAAATTCTTTTTGAGTTGACAATATTTTTATAGACAGTCTCCCAAGTTTTAGGATTAATTTTCTTTTCCTTTTTTTCCCATCCTAATTTGGCAGGTTATCCAGAGAGTGTTAGAAGAAAAACTTGCTGCTTTACAGTGTGCTGTATTTGACAAGACTCTGGCAGACTTGAAAATGCGAATAGAGAAAGTAGAATGTAACAAGAGGCATAAAACCGTGCTTACTGAACTACAGGTGAGTGTGTATTGAATTGCACACAAGTGTCAAATTTAGCAAGTTCCTCAGCATTTAGTAATAAGTTTCCCGTTGCTGCTGTTTGGGAAGGCAGTTTGATTCCACAGGGGGATGAGAGGAGAAAAAAAAAAAGTGAATAAGTACATTATCTTTGTGCAGTTATGAATAGCAGTGAAAAGTCATGCATAATGTAGGATTGTGATACACACTGGTGTCTTTCTGCTGCTCCAAAGTCATATAGTAGTACTGTCTTTCATGGAAAGAATATTTTCTTAGAATCATAGAATCACAGAATGGCCTGGGATCACAATGATCATCTAGTTTCAACCCCCTGCTATGTGCAGGGTCGCCAACCAGCAGACCAGGCTGTCCAGAGCCACATCCAGCCTGGCCTTGAATGCCTCCAGGGATGGGGCATCCACAACCTCCTTGGGCAACCTGTTCCAGTGCGTCACCACCCTCTGTGTGAAAAACTAACCTAAATCTCCCCTGTCTCAGTTTAAGACCATTTCCCCTTGTCTTATCACTCTCCACCTTCGTAAACAGGCATTCCCCTTCCTGTTTATAAGCTCCCTTCAAGTACTAGAAGGCCACAATGAGGTCTCCCTAGAGCCTTTTCTTCTCCAAGCTAAACAATCCCAGTTCCCTCAACCTTTCCTCATAGGAGAGGTGCTCCAGCCCTCTGATCATCTTAGTGCCCTCCTCTGGACCCGCTTCAAGAGCTCCACGTCCTTCCTGTACTGGGAGCCCCAGGCCTGGACACAGTACTGCAGACGGGGTCTCACAAGAGCCGAGTAGAGGGGGACAACCACCTCCCTGTTCCTCCTGGCCATCCCTTCTTTAATGCAGCCCAGAACACAGTTGGCCTTCCAGGCTGTATAAACGTTTGGTTTGTGTAATTTCTTTAATGGTTCTTGTGTTTGTGGTTTTGTTTACTGGTTTTTCTCTTCTTTCCATTTAGGCTAAAATCTCTCGATTGACAAAACGGTTTGGAGCTGCCAAGGAGGATATGAAGAAAAAACAGGAAGTAAGAACTGTGTTTGCAGTATTTGTATTTGTGAGCTAATCTAAGCCTTGTATTGAGGAAATTTTGTATGCAGGAATATGTGACTTATTTCAGTGGTGTTCACAAAGTAGATTTGTCTTATTTGACTGAAAGTGAGCCATTCTTAGGAATAGAGTCTTCAACATCTATTCAGTGGGTCTCATTTGCACAGAAGGTCTTTTATACATTGTTAGTGTGGAAGCACCTTAAATTATATGTAAGAAAAAGTAATTTACTTCAATATGAAGAGTACAGGATGAATATCTGCTTTTAGGGAGGGAGGGAAGGGAATAGAGGAATGAATACAAATCTGTCTAGAATAAGTATTTTGGGTTAGTTACTGTGACGAAGTGGGAGCTAAAAATTTGTAACAGTTCAAAAAGAAATATCGATTCTTTTGATCTTGTGCTATAAAAACCTAAAGACAAGAGGCTTGGAGAAAGTGTGTAGGAGTGAGGCAGGTAGGACCAAATCGTAGAAAGTAGTGTAGAAAGGAATCTGTAAGGACTACAGTTAATCCACAAGCTGATGCAATTGTTTTGTTTTTCTTTATATTTTTGTTTCTTTTTTAGAATACACCAAACCCATCTCTGTCCTCAGGAAAAGCAGCAAGTAGCACTGCGAATGCAAACAATCTGACATACCGGTAAGCAAAGCACATCACTACAGTCATGTTAAAATTCAGAGTAGGACCTTACGTAATGAATTTGATTGTTTGTTTTTTAATTAAAGTGTTCTTCCTTCATTGCTATTCAACTGTAAAATTCAATTTTTATTCACAGAATTCACAAATGGACAGTATTGAATTAATTCCTAGGTTAAACGATGTGTTAACAGTTAAAGATGATAGAAGTCTAATGAGAAAATTCACTTGACAAAAGGCAAGCTCAGTGCAAAAGCTTGAAAATTTGTAAATAAGTAATTCTCTGAGGGGTTTTTTTGTTTCTTTGTTTTTGAGTAGAGGAATATACAGTGTTAATTTGCTTGTGGAGGCAGAAGATAAATCAGATTATAAAATTAATGAAACTAATAGCCTTGCAATATAGCCTTGTTTCCCCATCATCACTATACCTGTTGAGAAGTGCTAACAGTCTTCTTTCTGTAGAAATATTACCACGGTGAGGCAGATGCTGGAATCAAAGAGGAATGTAGGAGATAGTAAACCAGCAACTCTTCAAGCCCCTGTGAATGGAGGTGAGAAACCACCTATGGCCTTTATAAATTCATGAAAGTTTGATTGCTTTCCATTAATTAGGTAACTAAGCAGACCAAAACTGTTTTGTAGAAATTCTTTATTCCTGACATCATTACTCTTGGCTGCCTACCACATTCCCAGTTTAGAATTGAATGGAATCATTGAGTTAGAAAGGACCTTCGAAAATCATCTAGGCCAACTGCCTGACCTCTTGAGGGCTAACCAAAAATTAAAGCATATTATTTAGGATGTTGTTGAAATGTTTAATACTGACAGGCAAGGGGCATCAGCCAGCTCTGCAGGTAGACTCTTCCAGTGTTTGACCACCTTTGCAACGAAGACATTTTTCCTTGTTTGTAGCCTGAAGCTCCTCATACAGCTTTACACCACTCCTATACATCCTGTCCTCAGTTACCATGAAGAAGAGACCAGCACCTTCCTCTTCACTTTTTCATCTCAGGAAGTCTTTGAGAGCAATGAGATCACCTTTTAGTCTTCTTTTCTCCTGTCTAGAGTCCAAAGTGTCCTCAGCCTCACCTCATAGCTCATTCCTTCCAGCCTTTTTATCATCTTTGTTGCTTTCTTCGGGATGGCATTTATGTTTGTGTAATGTGCTTACTAGGCAAGGCAAAAAATACATTGACATGGCCAACTAGAACATCTGGGCAAATTAAATGCTACAGCAGACTGCTTGCCTGGGTAAGGCAGAAAAACGTGAAGTTTCTCCACTGCTGAAGTTTCTTCACTGCTGAGAAGTGAAGCGCATGGCTCACAGGCCATTTTTTTGCACTTGATTGTAGTAGGATGCTGATTATTGTGCTCTCTGACTAGTGGCTATAAAAATTGAGTGAGGAATTAAGGGAAGTCACAAGCCTCATTTCTTAAAGGTATCACAAGTGGAATTCCAATACTGGAATTTTGTAAGGAATTTAGAATCAAAACCACAATTAATTACATTCTTCACCATCTCACCATTCTCACACCATCTTCAGTTTTAAAATTCTGTTTACTTAAAACTTAAATAAATCTTTTTCTTTTTTTTTTTTTCAGAACCAGCACGTAATAGGAATGTAATGGCTATATTTAGTATATTGTGCTCCTGATCTTTACATTTAATCCCAAAATTTTGTTGCATAAAAGCAAATACTTTCTTTGGCACATTAATCCTTATTTCAGTAGCATCTTCTAGATACAATGTCCTGCCCTTATTTCAGTAGCATCGTCTAGATACAAAGTAACTTAGTCAAGTTGATTTCATTTTTGTCTTCTTGTGTTTTCTAAAGGACCAGTTGCTCTACTGTTTCTGTAGCAAGTGTTTAAAGTGCTGTACTTCATGTATTTTCATTATTTGAACCTCAGCTCCTCAAGCCTCTGCGTCTCAATTGTTTGTAAATTTTGTCATTTGTATTTAGTTCTTTCAAATAGAAATACGGTATACACTATCTTAAACTAGACCACTGAATTTCACAGTGTACAGCAGAAAAAAGAGCACACATAGCCTTTCTTTGAAAATAAAAGTAACCATTTTTTCATTTGTTGTGTTGGAGTGGATCTACCCTCTTGGTTCAAATTCTGTTTTTGTGTTTTGTGTGTAGCACCAGCTTCAAGTCTTGCTGCTCCTCAGACACCTGCCAGTGGACATCCTAAGCCTCAGACTCCAGTGACCTCTAGCCCTTTGACAACAGCAGTTATTTCGACGGCTAACACAGCTACAGTTGTAGGCACAAGCCAAGTGCCCAGTGGCAGCACTCAGCCAATGTCTGTTTCATTGCAGTCTTTGCCTGTAATCTTGCACGTGCCTGTTGCAGTATCATCCCAGCCTCAGCTCCTTCAAGGCCACGCAGGAACTTTGGTCACTAACCAGCAGTCAGGCAGCGTTGAATTTATATCTGTACAGAGCTCATCTACAGTTGGTAGCCTTACCAAAAATGCAGTATCTTTGGCATCTACTAACACAACTAAACCAAATAACAGCCTGTCTGTGTCCAGTCCTAGTGTTCAGAGAAACTCTCCAGCCAGTGCTGGGTCTGTACGGACAACATTAGCTGTACAAGCAGTTTCAACTACACATCCTGTTGCACAAACCACAAGGACTTCTTTGCCCACAGTGGGTACTTCAGGACTTCATAATTCTACCAGCAACCGAGGTCCCATACATATGAAGATTCCCCTCTCCGCATTTAATAGTACCGCTCCTGCCGAACCATCTACCGTTACAGCGCCCAGAGTTGGTAAGTCATGCTTGAATGTTGACACTAGGAAAAGAGGAGAAAACCATTGTCAAAAGAAAACATTAAATTCTAGTCCTGTGGAAGTTTTGTTTTTACTGAAATGTATCTTCTGGGTGGCCTTACTGTTGAAATTATCAGGATCAGGATCATCTGTCACATTGTTGAAAATCATATCTCATTAGGAGTTAACAGTTTGACGCTTTAAGCTTTGTTTTATTTAGAACTTGATTTATATTATTCCTAGCATGAAATCAGATGCTTCTGTCCTAATATTAACATTTTTGTATAATGTAACTTCCTGGAATAATCTGATTACCTTTCCAAAGAACAGAAAGTATGTTCATTGGCTTAATTTTCAAAACACTTAAACAAAATGGGAGAAAAAAAGAACACAACATAATATTAATCTAATTCCAAAGAATTAGATTTAAAGGCTCTTAAAGCACAGGAAAAGTTCAGATATGCTATTTAGCTGACATATTTTAAAATGCTTTCTCTCCATCTTCTGCCGTGTCATGACAATTCTCTGCACTTCTGATACTAGATATGTTGAAATTTTTATTTGCGGTCAAGATTTTCTTAGTGGTATTGAGTGTGTTGAAATCATAGATAAGAGTTTCTAATTGGCACAGTATAATGTTAGGATTAATTCAAGTAGGGCTCAACATCACAAATAATTTTATTTCATTTCTCATTTCTAAGATACGTATGCCAAATATATTTTCCATGAAAGTGACAATTATACGCTTTGCATTATTGTTTATTTCTAAGGCTAGTATAGTGATATCATACAAAGAGCTGTGAAAGGTCTCTGTGCCCAGAAATATGTATTGTTTTCTACAGTTCACATTGCATTTGTGTATACCAAGTGGTTTTCTCACCAGAATTGAAACACTGCTTTGGGCAAGCAAGTTGCTGCTAAGCTCTGGTTAAAATGTAAGGGAGTATGAAGGAAGAATTTTGATTTAAATGTTTACGTCAAATATTCAAGCAACTTCTGCTTAAGTAGGTATGTGTTCAGTTGAGCAAGAATTAAGAATTCTGTCCCTGCTCTGCTTGCCTCATTTACATATTTTCCATTCTAACCATACATAGTCAATTTTCATGTGAATGTGTTGAACAACTTTTTTTTTTTCTGCTTTATATCTTGTCTGTTAACATATAGGGGCAGGAGAGATTGGAATTATGTTTTCTCCTCAGACAACTGAGGGAATTACCCATAAAATATTTGGAATACATGGTCAGACATTCAAGGAAGGGAATGAATACTACTTCTAGACTGAAAAGTGCCATTTTGCTTTTTCTTCCTGTTTCCTCTGAAAAATGATAGTAATCAAGCTTGGATACTTGCACTTGAAAAATAAGGAGCATTCAGTATCAAACAACTTCAAATGTTGCCTTTAAATTTGTAGAGTGGACTAGCTGTATTTAGTTTAGTATTGATTAGATACTGCAAATGAACCAATTTCTTGACCCTTCAGAAAACCAGACAAGCAGGCCACCAGCAGATTCTTCAGCGAACAAGAGAACAGCTGAGGGAACAACACAGGTAGGTTGTTGATTATATTTTTGTTGAAACTTCTGAAGTTACAATCCACAGGAGATAAGTTCTTTACCCTCATTGCTCATAATGAAGCAACTTCAGGCTGTGGGTGTTTTTTGTTGTGGGTTTTTTTTCTGGTTTGTGTGTTTCTTCGTTGTTGGTATTTTTTCCTCCGTTCTTTCTAGTTTGTGTCTATTTGTATTTTTCTTCTTCTGATCCGGAGTATTACTGGGAGCATGAGCTCCTCATAATCTCTTCAGAAGTTTTCCAGTGTGTTTTCCATAAGTAGGTGAGTTAGTAATCCTGGAGAACACTAAAAACATGTCTGATGCAACAGAGCCAACATATGAAAGAAAACTCTACTTAGTTTTTGCCTAAAGGTCTTAAACTTGAAGCTAAAAGTATTTTGCAAACTATTGCAGCTCTCATTTTTACACTAATCCAAAAGTTATTAAGAAAAAAAAATACACTTCCTTCAGAAATAGCTACTTCATAACAAAGAACTTGCAGTACTTCTGGATTCTTCTAAAATTTGTTGGACTTTGCAATTTTAAGGTTAAATTTAAGGTATTTGAAATGATTTGTAATGACGATTCTGTGTACAGATATTACACAAAGCACTTCACATGTACATTTCTGTTAACTGGAAGTCATTTTACTAAGGGGAATAAAATTATTTTTTTCTACCCAAAATTTTCGCATTTAATGGTTTTTCAAGGTGCAGATAAATCTGAATTGTGTTTCAAAGCAAGAAGAAAGTATACTGGACAAGATTCTGTTTTTCACTTCCTGTATAAATAGTCTAGTAAAGATGACCAGTGTTACAGATTATAATCCATGCCTTACTCTACCTTTTTATTAAAGCATTTCATAAAGAATGGTTATCATTTTTAGAAGATACCTGTGGATTATAGCTGTACCAATCTGTCAGTAGTTGATATGGAGGAAAAGCAGTACCAGAATAATTGACATTTATGATTTTAAGATATATTTTCAGCATAAGATGTATATTTTGGATTTTCTCATCTTCGGTAGAGTCTGAAACCCAGAAAAGATTTTAGCAAAAAAGTTTGTGTGCATGAGTGGTATTTAGCAATTGAAGGTGAGCAAAAAGGAAGGATTTGGAAGGAAACAAGATACAAGACGCTTTCCGGTTTTCAGTCTTTTAGTGTGTCTCTAGGTTTACTTTCAGTTGAATCAGTTAAAGCATGTGTAATGCCATGGTTAATTTAAAAAAAGACCAGATGCATTCTAATTGACTATCAGGATATGAAACTGACATGCAATGTCATTTGAAAAATCCAGTTAATGCCACCTGCTTTTTGTTATGTAACATCCAAAATATTATGTATTACTCTGCACTTCACAGCTCTCAGAACAAAAAGTAGTTCGCTGTGTGCCGTATACCTGTGGCATATTTGATGGTACAACTTTGATCAATTGTTTCGAAAAGCAATTGAAACAGGAAGAGACTTCATCAGAAAATAAAGAAGCAGTAGAAGCAGCACAGATGAATCTTAACTTCCCTGAGGATGTCCTCTTTGGCTTGGAGGAAGAGGAAGAGGATGCTAAGAGCATCAAAAACACCCACAAGCAGACTGGCTGGGCAGCTAACCTATTAAAGCAATGGCTGGCCAAAAATGGCAAGGATCCTAGCTTTGAATTGGTTCCAGTAAGTGAACTCAATGATATTTTAAGAGAATTTTATTGCAAAATAAGGAATCATGATGGAAATACCTACAGTGTGGCAAGCTACAAGTCAATGCGTGCTGGCTTAAACCGGCATCTCAAAATGCCACCTTACAATCGTCAGATTTGCTTAATGAAGGACAAAGAGTTTGCTAGTGCAAATATGGTATTTGTGAGTATGCTGAGGATGCTGCGCATCCAGGGAAAGGATGAGACTCACCACCATCCTCCTATAGCAGCTGACGACTTGCGTAAGATTAAACTGTCTGGTGTACTGGGATTGCACAGTCCTGTGGCACTCGTCAACAAGGTGTGGTTTGATTTGCAGTTGCATTTTACCAAACGAGGGAGGGAAATTTTGAGAGATCTTGCTCCAGATGCTTTTGTTGTTAAGAAGGACAAGAACGGGCGTCGTTATGCTATGTTTAGGTGTCCTGGAAAAGGAAAAAATGAAGAAGATCCTCATAAAATGGGTAAAATGTATGATATGCCAGGGGACCCAAACTGTCCTGTTTTTTCCTTGGAGCTTTATTTATCTAAGTTGCCTCCAGAGCCTCCGGCCTTTTACCTGCATCCTTTAAAGCTAACAGCAGAGCAAATGAAAGAACAGCCTGTATGGTACAAAAGAGAACCAATGGGTGTGAACTACTTGGGTGCAATGATGCCCAGGATAAGTGTGGCAGCCAGGCTTTCTCAGCGATATACCAATCATTCTCTCCGAACTACCACCATCCAGCTACTGTGTGAAGCAGGACTGGGGCCTGGAGAAAATTATGGCATTGGCAGGCCATCACTCTGAGTCTGCTATTCGACACTGCTGGGGAGCTGCAGAAGTTCACTACAGGGCTTGGTCAGATATAATGGAGAATAACACAATCAATTACCTATATAGCAAGATTGCAAATCATAAATGAATCATTATCTGGTGTCTCCACCTTTTCTAGAAACCATGTTGTTGTAAAACAAAGCAAAATCTTATAAATCTTAGAAGTCTAGCATGCCATCTGGCACTAGTCTTGTGACTTTAGTCCCTGAGGGACATACTGCTCTCCAATCTAAAAGCCCTATTGATCCTTTTGAACTGCAGTTCTTCCAGCGTGCAGTTCTTCCTCCCCAAGAACGTAGCCAAAGTGAGCCCAACTGCCAGTCCTCTCCAAGGCTGTTGTAATTAACTTTCATAAAGCACTTGATAAAACAAGAACTAACGTCTTGATGCTTTTTGTAACAGAGCTGATTTCAAGTAAATCACTAGAATAGAAAAAAAAAATATCAAATTTGTTTCATCAGTTGGTTTACTAAGGAAATTTCCTATGATGTAGTTCATCAAGAAGTATCTTGTTCACAGTCCTGAAGTGAGCTATGGAACAGAAACTTAGTGCAGGTCTTGCAGTTTCTGTGACTTTCATTAGCAACTGGGACTCTAAATGACTGAGCTGAACTATTTAAATTTAAAAAAATAAAATAAAAATGGGGAGATACTGATTTCCCCTTAGCTGAAGAGCTATGCTTTCTACACTAAGTGCATGGCTTCTATATTTTGTGAAGAGTATATTTATTATACCACTCTGTGACTGTTGGCACTACTGTAGCATCTTACTAAACAAATACTTGATTGCTGAAGATCTCAGAGAAAAGTACAAGCTGAATGAAACAGACACTTGCAGTTCAAATACATACATATGCATGAAAACAGCTGGAGTTGCCTGATCACTGTCACATTCTTTGTTCCAGTCTTGTTACCAGTGATTGTTACCAGTCTTGCCAAAAGATTATGCTGTGCAGCTTCCTGTTTTTATTGTTTTGCTTTTGCTTTTGGTTTTTTTTGTTTTTTTTTTTTTTGTTTTTTGAACATACTTTTAAATTAATTTAATCCACAAGCTACAGATTTCTGTTGCAGGTCTTTTGTTTTCCTTTCATGTTTTTGACTAAGATTTCAGTCACTCCCATCTCCAAAAACACTTATCTGATACAAATGGTGCAAAAATTTCTGTGTCTTCAGTTGTCCATGAAATGAGGAAAACGTTCTCAATAGAATTGAGAGCAGATCTGTTGTTTAAATGTAATTAAAGTTGAGGTGTTACCTCTGGAAACATTCAAGGTCAGGCTGGAGGAGTTCAGAGCAACCTGATCCAGCTGTAGATTCCCAGTTCATTGCAGGGGATTTGGACTAGGTGAACTTTAAAAGTCCTTTCCAGCTCAGGTGGTTCTATGACTAAGTGACTTGATGCCTGATCTTTGGAGTTCTTATTGTGGCTGCTGCTGATTACATTTTCAAGTCTGGGTTAGGTTAGTTGTATTTACTACTTTTCCTTAGTGTAGACTAACCCAGAATGTTCTGTTTTCTCATCGGTTGTGTTAATTATTGAAGAGATTTCAGAATCGCTGTATGTATCGTATATACTGTTTATGGTCAGTCTTTTCATATTATAAAGATCAAACAAGTTAATGAGATATAATCTTTAACGTAAAAATTACTTCTGCCACACAATCCCGTATTGACTTAGTTATAGCATTAACTTATGACTTTCTTGGCTATAGGAAATCACAGATCCAGGATTATCATTTTATCAAATCTAAAGTAAATCAAATGGAAATAACAAATAGAAAGGCCTTTCTAGGGGCCATATATAAAAATTAGGGAAAAAAAATACACAAAAACAGGTGGCAGTATCTTATTCTAGGATTTTCTAGCATAGCAAACTTCCAAACTTTGTCTTCATAGAATTCGCAATTCAGGTAAACTGGCAAATTTCATTTCTTGTTCGAAGAGTCTTGCTCTAAATCTTCACCAAGATGGATATGTCTTGGTTTTTTATACCTTCTCTCCCATTTCCTGTTGTTGTCTCAGATAATTCCTTGTTCTGGTCTACAAGACTTAACAAAGGAAACATGAGAACACTGACAGGAGTTCATTCTTTTTTGTTCATTCTTGCTGCATAATGTGGTCATACCAGCCACATATCCTGCTCTGGTCCTAACTGCATCTGTGTAATATACTGTAACAGCATATTGGCATATTGCTAATAGTTTGATTCCTCAACAAAAATCTAGGTGGTGATTTAAACTGGGGAGA